CAAAACCTTTGTTGTAATACCAAAAATGTTAATACTCTTTCTCTAGCTAGTATACTCTAAAAACAGTAAAACTCACTAAATATATATAAGAAATATACATAGATGAGTATAAAATAATGGGCCCAAACAATTTTCTTATATACAAATCTTATATAATATAATAAAGTCACAAACGATCACTCGAAGTGTTGCCAAACCCTTCCGCTTCTGAGTGCCAAGCGACCAGCATCCTACTACTAGCAAAACATTGAAAACAACGGGGTGAGCACTAATTGCTCAGTAAGTGAAACCGCTATGCTACTCTCTCTCTCCTAGTTCACATTCTGAATTTCTTTCCTTACATCACACTTCTCTGTTCTTTCTCTATTCTTATTTCTCACTACTCATGATAGTAGGCATGGTATCATGCATAGGTATGATGCAAATGCACAAATGCATAGGATGTGCATTTTCTTCTTCTTTTTTCTTTTCTCTGTTTTCTTTTTTGTTTCTTTCTTTTCTGTCTTTCTTTCTTCTTCTTTTTTCCTTTTTCTATTCTTCTTTCATTCTTTCTTTCTTTTATTTCTTTCTTGCATCACCGGTTGAGGCATGGATTTGGAACCCTGCGTGTGAGTGTTCTTAATTCTGGGATACAGTCCTCATCCACATGCACCTAACGGACTGTACAATTCTTCTTTCTGATTTTGAGGCGTCACTAAAGGAGGTGCATGCGGGCTATGTCACTCAGGGTTCCCATCGCAACAACCTTCTCTTTTTATCTTTTTACATTCTTTAAATAAATTTCAGATTTGAACTTCTTTAATATTTCTATTTCTTTCTATTGTCTTACTTAAGTTCAATATGCTTTTAATGCTTTATGAGTATGTAGCATGTGAGGCTCATGTTTATATTCTTTCTAAATTCACATGTTTGGATGCAATATGCAATATGGAATGAACACATGTCATTTCTACCATCTACAAACTCATCCAAGATAACAAATAATATATCCTACATGCACTTCTCTTTGACATTTCATCAAACAATTTATATGCCACATCAACTCAATTTGGTCTACACTTCTACCTCTCTTCTAAGCCACCAAAATTGGATAAACACACCAAGATTAACGTCAAACCTGTCCAGGATTCACACTCCATAAATTCTACTCCAATTCTTCCATAATTCATCCAACTCTTCAAACATCAAGTACACAAACACTACTTTCATGTTAAATTCTACATTCAAACACATTCCATCAAAAATTTTCATATAAGCACATACATGCATAAAAAAATTTCTACACAATATTATTCCAATCATAATAGGGTTGGATTTACTTACCTTAGAGTGAGCAATCCAACACTTTAGGTCTTCCTTGACAAACTCCTTTTCTCTAACTCCTATGAACACAAATCATAGAACAACACTTTAAAATTAAATCTTATCTTAGTGCAAGATCTTACTAAGGATGCTTGGATTGAAATTCCACAAAATAACAAGATCTGAATTCCTTAAAAATGATTGAAGAAATTTGAGAGAACTTGGGTGGTAAGTGGGTGAATGGAGGAGAAGAAATGGCGGGTTTCATTCTTCAACTCTTGATATAACCAATTTATTTATTGTTCCATTTTACCCTTTCACTTTCTATGAAATTCTCATAGTCCCTTAGTCATTACCATAATGCCCTCATTTTATGCATTCTCCATGAAATTCTATCTCTTTTCACTCCCACTTTTTCAACTAATTATGAGTGAAAAGACATTTACCCTAATAAATTTTAAGGCATTTTCTTCATACTTGTTCAAGTAACTTTAACAAAATTAACTAAGGGTATAGGCATAAGTAAAGCTAGTACCTCTGTGGGTTACATAAAATTAGTTAGTCCTATTTTCCTTGGCATAACATAAGGAAAAAAAAAATAGAGAAAACAAGTAAAATAAATAAGAAAATAAACTAAATTAGATCTTAAATTTATCAGGAAAATTATCTTCATAGTATCCATTTTGAAAAGAAGGCAAATTTTTGGTATTGTTGTATTTCTCGGATGTAAAAAAGGTAACCGTCTATTAAAAATTGCACCATCATTAATTGGAACAAAACTCCATTAGCGGTAGAATTGTTAGTTTCCAAACCTCAAGGTGACAGGGTAGTAAACCAAAATTGTCTAATTATTAAAAAAATATATTAATTAGGACTTATTTTTTCTTGACAAATATAATAACAAAAATAGAAAAAGACAAAAGGTAATAAATTGTTTCTTTATGTTATAATTATTCATTTTTTATAGTATTTCATATTTTCTTTTGAAAGAAAACTCTTTAGTACCAAATCCTTTTTCTGAAAACAAAATGGTACATATAAAATCAGGAAATATGCATATATAGTCTATGGGTGATAATCCTCAGGAGTTTACATCAATGCGGCTGACATGCAAAATGAAATGTCGCATGAACCAACCTCAAATGAAAATCTGTTTAGCACGATCCTGTGATGACCCAAAAATACTCACTGAATAGATGATTTTGTAAAACATTTTTTCTTTTCTATATTTTTGAAAATAATGTCTATGTGATTATGGTACAATTATTTGATTATTTCTTATAAACTGATATTAATAAACTAGAGATAATATACATTTCTCCTGATCTTTATTTTTAATGTTAATATATGGTACTGAACTATTATTATTAACTGTTTACTTATTAGTTCATTTATGATACATTAAACTATATTGATAAATGATTGATACCATAAACTAAATATATAATAACAAAAATAGAAACAAGACAAAAGGTAATAGATTTTTCTTTTATGATAATATTCATTTTATTATAGTATTTCATATTTTCTCTGAAAGAAAACTCTTTATTACCAATCCTTTTTTGAAAAAAAATAATGCATATTATAAATCAGATGGAAATATGCATATAAAAGTCTATGGGTGATTAGAGCCGCGGTGGGTCGTGTCACCCACGCACGACACAAAAAGCAGCCGATAAGCACGCACGAAAAAAAGCACGCAAGCCCGACAGAAAATATTTGGGCCGTGCACGGCCTTAAAAAAGCCTGGGCCACACAGCATGCACAAAAAAAAAATAATAATAAATTAATAAAATTAATAGTTATTTTTAAAAGTGTTGAAGCCATTATGTATGAAAGATTGGGTGGCGCAGATTTCAAGCTTCAAAATCGTGTTGTTGAAGATATATTTGAAGTTTAAGAATTTAGAAATTAATGAAAATGAAGATTATAATAATTCTAATTCCTAATTTCTAAGTGTATTTGTAATTTATAATTATAACTTTAAGTAATAAAAAGTGTGAAATTCAATTAATATTCAGTGTCTATATTTATTATATTTCATAATGATAATATTTTAATTAATAAAATACAAAATGTCACTAAATTAACATATAAAATATTTTAAATAATAATTAATAAAAACAAAATTACCATTATTATAATATTTAAATTAAATATTTTACAAAGCACATGGGGCCGGCATGGCATGCCCAAAGCATGGCACATATTAACGGGCGTGCCATGGGCCTTCAAATTTTGTGGGCCGGCACGACAGGGCACAAACTATGTGGGCCTTGGCACGACACGGCCACGGCACATGGATTTGAATTTTTAGACAAGGCACGACCCACACCTCTATGGGTGGTAACCTCATGTGCAGTATACATCATTACATGGCATGCATGAAATGAAGCTGCTGTGTGGACCCAACCTCGAGCGAAAATCACTACCAACACGATCTGTGTGACCTAAAATACTCAAGAATAAATATTTGTAAAATATTTTTTCTTTACTTAACTTTTCTGAAAATATTGTCTCTGTAATTATGGTACATTATCTGAATTATTTCTTAAAACTGATATTAATAAACTAGAGATATATTAATATTTCCGATTATGCATTCTTAATGTCTAGTATCTAGTATAAAACTATTATTATTAACTGTTTACTTTATTAGTTCATTTCTGATACATTAAAACTAATAACTGATAAATGAACTGATCCATGAACTAATAATTGTTCTAATATGTAAAACGAAAATGATCTATATATAAAACTAATAACTGATACTGAATGATCATAATGTTAAGTGATACATTAAAGATATGATCAGCACATATCAAGTGATAAACATCAAACATCCACCTCTTAATAAAGAACTTTTGTTATGAATGCTTCCTATTCCTATAACATGTAATTGTTATGACCTTTATTTCTTCAAAATTTGGAAACAATGGTACCCATCAAAACAAATTCGAAATAGTTACAAGAATGGGACTAATGTTGAACATATAATTTACATAAACATTTCAAATGTTTTCTTTTAAAATACAACTCATTAACTGCATAAAATTGCAGACAGTAATAAGTCACAAGAACCAATCGATTATGGAAACATTCTTGCAAGTGTAATACAAGAGTGCTGTAAAAAACTTAATGTTTTCATCAGATACCTTAGGAGGGGGCTATCATTCTCAATCATCCCCATCACCATCCCTATCAAATTCGAACAGATAAAAGTGTTTACTGAACCTTCTGCTTACCATAACCAATATAGAGCATTTGGGCAGCTGGATGAACTTTTTCAGAATTCTGCTCTAAAAAAAGTTTAATACTCGCTAAAGTTTTATCACGTAAACATCAATTTCACTTTTGGACCGGAAATTGAGGAAGCTCGTTCAAACATCACTATAATTTTTGGCCTTCATCAGTAACTACATGACTAAGGACATTGTACATTCAGTCGGCTTCACATTTCTCCCCACCATTTTATGAAGGAGTTTAACAACTTTTGTTATCTCATTATTCTTGAGAAAACCAAACATAAGCGTAGTAAATGTGACTACATCTGGAGCACGACCTTTTTCCTCCATATATGACAACAACTCATTTGCCATTTCTAATTGTCCATTTTTACACAGCCCATTGATCAAAATGCTATATGTTACAACATCTAGCACCAGGTTTCCATGAAGACAAAACTTCTGAAATAGGTCCTAAGCAGTTTCGAATTTCACTGTTTTACATAATCCATCAATGAGGGAACTCAAACCTTCAATGCTAACTGCAATCGTATTATTTACTAGAGCATTAAACATTTCCAATGCTTCCAAAACACATTCGTTCTTGCAAAGCTCATCAATGACAATGCTATATGTCCAAGAATTAGGAAAAGCATCGTTAAGTTGCATTTCACCAACTAAATTTTGTGCATCTTTCACGTTAGCTATAAGAAAAAAGCCAATTAACAAGGTGCTATATGTAATCACATCAGGCCTAATTCCTTCTGAAATCATCTCTCGATAAAGACTAAGAGCTTCACTGACTTCTTTGTTCTTGCAGTGCCAATTGATTAAAGTATTGTAGCAAACAACATTAGGCCTATACCCCTTTCTAGTTATAGAATCAAACAACTCCCTTGCATCACCAATTCTATCTGCCAAGCAATAACCGTTTATCAAAATGTTGTAAGTACAAATGTGAGGAACCACACCTCTCTGAATCATATATTCCAACAATAGTTTTCTGGCCTTCTTAACCAATCCAACCTTACAAAGACCATCAATTATAGTGTTATAAGTAACAACATTTGGCCTACAAATAACACCAAATTCTTTATTCCCATTAACCATCTCTTCAAGAAACTTAATGGCAACAATTAATTTCCCTGTTTTACACAATCCACCAATCAAAGTGCTGCAAGTGATCTCATTAGGCCTACAACCAACAACAACCATTTGCTTAAACAATTCCATTGATTCCATAATCTTTCTCTCTACACACAGACCTTTAATCAAACAATCAAAAGTCACAGCATTTGGGCTAAAACCTTTCTTAAAAATCGCCCCAAAAATCACAAAACTATCCAAAACCCTTTCAATATTACACAAGCAATTCATCAAAATATGCAAAGATATTTAATCTTGAGACAACCTAGTTGAATTCAACAGCTTATGTAGCAAAATCACTTCATAATAATGCTTCTTCTTAGCTAGTGCGCTAAACAAAGTAGTGAATGATGAAATTGGAGAAATGTGTTTCAAATTAATCATGTAATAAAAAAAGTACAATGCTTCATTTAGAGTAAAGCTACCTGATCAACAATTTTCTTCGAGGAATTTAGCACGTGAGGATCGTTCAACGAGTTTTTTGAAAGAATACAAAACTTCATTTTTGGAGCTTGAAGATGTGAGGTTGTGTAAGTGAGCTAACAAAAATAAAACATTAAATTTCGAGGATGGGTTTTGAGAGATTGAAGACGAATGAAATGGGGATCTGAATCTCAAAGCCATGTATGAATTGAAGAGTGTTTTTGTGTGTCGTTTTTTCCCAAGTAAGGTCACTGCAAAAGGCAAATGCATTAAAGAGAAATGTTTTGACAAATTCCACAAACAGCCTTTAAGGTTTTCAAAATTTCAAACTTATGTCAAGTATTGATCTTTCCTATTCAAACCACCTTTATGATTTCGAAAATTGAAGGTTAAAAATGTAAATCCACGTTCAGGTGTTTTTCGGTTTGAGGTGGTTTTCAACTAAATCCAAAACTATCCAGTTGATCAAACAAACCAATTTATATAAGTATTCAATTTTACCTTTTTTTTAATAAAATTATAAGATTTAAATAAATCATGCTATTGAACTTTGTATTTAATTTACAATGATATATAAAAAAAAAAAAAAAATTCTATTTGTTCTTCAAACTTTTAAATATACCAAAATCGATATTATTTACTAAAGTATGAAACGTTTCCACTTCTTCCGAAACACATCCATTCTTGCAAAGTCTATAAATGAAAATGCAAGTTAACAAATTGTCATTTATAATCGCATTAGGCCTAATTCCTTCTAAAATCTTCTCTTCATAAAGATTAAGAACTTCGTTGACTTCTTTATTCTTGCAACACCATCTGATTAAAGTATTGTAGCAAACAACATTAGGTCCATATCCCTTTCTAGTTAAAACTTCTTCATTTATAAAATCAGTTTTTATGTTGTTTATTAGAAACATTATTAGAGGTGCACCATGAGACAGCAAAGTCAGATTTGAAGTTCATTAGAGACTATACTTCCAATAATAGATGGAATCAATTAGAAAAGAGAAAAAATTTATAGCTATAAGACTTTTTCTATTCTAGTTTTTCAACGTATCATATTCTGCGAGAGAATTAATGAAATATGAGACAGAATCTTGAACTTTTCTCTCAATGTTTTGACATGCTAATTTTTTCAATTAATTTCTCTTATTCAATGGTAGTGGATGGATCATTATGTATTTACTTAACATTCGTTTATTTTTTATTGATTAAATTTTCCATCTTCTCCTCTTTGTTTTTAAGTCAATCCTATGAACCACAAATTTTATGAGATAATTTTAATAATGTTTAACCACGATACTCATAGAAGCCAAGTTAATTTTAAGGGAATCAATGAATTTTAATGTTAAACATTTATAATCAATGTTTGCTTATTGATTAAAATTTTTTTACGTCAACCAAGAACATAACTACTTTTATAACTTCAATAATGTGTAATCAAAATTATTACTATTAATTTAATCTCCTTTATAAAAATATTATTTAAGTGCAAAACATTTAACTTTAAAAATGCATAAACTGATTACTTAACTTTAAACATGCATAAACTGATTACTTATATTAAAAGTAAGAAAGACCACAAGAAATCCTGTTGTGTGTGATTTTTGTCATAAGCTCGAAAGTCTTGGTAGCCCGAAAATCACTAGATCAACTTGATCTCAAGGTCATGGAATCTTGAAGTCCGACTCAACATAACCTCATCACTAGAGGTGGGCAGGGACCAGTCCCAAGCAGGTCCGAGCCTGGGAATGAGGACCCGCACCGGTCCTATGGGCCCAGGACTGGTCCTATGGGCCTAGACAATTTTTTTTCCCCTGATCTTTTTTTATATTTTGGGGGCAAAACGAAATTTTGTAAGGGGTTTTTAGTATTTTTCAAGGATAGATTAGTAAGTTTCTAAAAATATAATTAATTTTAAAAAATAATAAATTAATTAATAGTTAATTTTAATTTTTAACATAAATTCACGTTTCACACATTCACGCTTCACAAATAAACAATTAAATAATTTTTTTAATTAAATTATTCATTTTCACCGTCATCAATATTTACATCATTCAAATCAGTATTCTTAAAGAGTTCGAGTAGTTCGGGATCTTTAAGGTGCTGTTGTAGTCTTCTTTCTGCATGAGTTAAATCTCGTAAACATGTTATCACTTCAATCATCTCATCGGTTAAAGAACATTTTCTGTCTTCAACAATTCGACCACTCGTTGAAAATATTGACTCGGATGCAATTGTAGAAACCGGCACAAATAAAATGCTACATGCCATTTGGGCTACAATGGGGAATCAACTTTCATGTTGATTCCACCACTGAAGAATATCCATATCATGTTGCTCCTTCATCATCATAAAAGACAGATCCACTTGTAGATAGTGATTCAGCTCATTGGGTCCATGTATGTATGAGCTGGAGCTGCTACTTCCGCCATGTTCCACATACGTCCACTTGCTCGATCCTTGACGGAGGGCTACATTAAGGTCCGGATCCTCTCTCCTGAACGTTCCGCTTCCACTTCCACTTCCATTGTACATGTTCTCATATAAAGAAAAAAGCTATCCAATTTTTGTTTAAAGTTAGTCAAATAAGACGTATAATCATGTCCTAAATGCTGGCCTATCTCAGTAATTATACAGTTAACAACATATAATTTAAACCTAGGATCTAAAACAAGGCCTAATCCATATAAGAATGGTATATCTAACCAATATCTCTTATATTTTTCTTCCATATTTAAAACAATTTCACTTAAAATGTTATTATATCTATATTGAGCAAAAGTTTTAGCAATTTGAAATAAAATATCTAACACTAAATTAGTAGTTGGATAATAAATATCACTTAATGTATTAGTAGCATCATAAAAAAATTGAAGAAATTAATAAAAAGGTTCACAAACCGCCCAATCATCATAGCTAACAACTTCCTCTGGACGGTTCTTCCGGTTGACGAAATCTGTAATTTGTTTCGCAGTTGGCAAAGCTTTTTCCAATATCAAGTAGGTAGAGTTCCAACGGATAGGCATGTCTATACATAACTTCAAAGGTCGAACCGGTGGGTCCTCTTGCTTACAATATTTGACGTACTCTTGTCATCTTTTATTGCTACCACCGACGATAAATTCGATAGCTCTGCACACCCTCTCCATCTTCGAATGTATAGCATCTAAACCTACTTTAACTATAAAATTGATGATGTGGCAATCATATCTCTAGTGAAAAAATTTGCCTTCACCACGCGGATCCAATCTCTTTTCAAATAAAGAGATTGTCGCGGTGTTAACAGCTGCATTATCAAGCGTTAACGCTACAACTCTATCAGTTAATAAATATTCTTGGCTAACTGCAAGAATTGTAAAATAAATAGTTTCAGCACTATGTTTTTCATAAAATGGTTTAAAACCTATCATTTTTTGTTGTAAACCCCAATTATGATCTACGAAATGTACTATGACAGTTAAAAAATCAGTTTTTGATCTACAAGCCCATATGTCTGATGTAAGTGCAATAGATATATTCCTAAAATTTTGAAATTTGTTTTTAAGTTTATTATTTATTTTGTTATAAAGTTTTAGTATATTTCTTTTACTTGTAGTATATACTGGACAAAATGTAGTTTTAACCATATGAATAAAAAAAGGATTTTCAGATAAACAAATGGGAGAGTCCGTAGCAACTATATATCTTGTTATTTCCTCTCGTGCAACATGTGCATTGTATTGTCATGTTGAGACGAGTGAGGATTGTGGATTAAAATTAAGTTGAGTTTGAATTTGTCTACCTGATCCCTTGAAGATGCATCGGGCAACTATATTTGGGGGTGCTTTTTTCCCCGTGTCGTCGCATCTTCAAAGTCCCCTTCTCAGCGCCAATAATGGTTCCACAGAAATTACATATCCCACACGATTCTTCCCCCTCCCCATTTGTCTTTGGCTTTTGATTTGGTGAAGTATCGTCATACATCGAACATGACCCTCTTGACGATCGGGGGTTGGGCTATGCCGTGCCCGTTGACTCGCAGCTCGCATGTTTTTGGCTACCACCTCGTCCCGACCGAAATGGGTTGTGGAATTGCAGCTGCTTCCTCTAGAGGAAATGGTGAAAATGGTTAAAAGCCTTCCATTTCTTCGGTGGATGGAACGTAAAACTCATTTGGGGAAGTCATTATATGCCAATCAATCTCTTCACTCCAACTCTCCAATCAATTTCTCATTTAATTTATTTATAATTTATTCATATTATTTATTTATATTATTTGATTTTTTTCTATTTTTCAATATCATCATAATTTCATATTATTATTTATTCTTCATTATATTTATGATAAATAATAAATAATAAAATGAAAGAAATTAAATAATAATATGAAATTATGATGATATAAAATAGAAAAAAAAAAAAAATCAATAATATAAATAATATTGAATAAATTATAATATAAATTAAATGAGAATTTGATTGGAGAGTTGGAGTGGAGAGATTGATGGCGGAATGAAAGATTTTAGAGTTATTTGTAATATAGTTTGTTTAAGAGGGGGGATGAAAAAAAAGAAAGGTTATAATTTATATTATAACCGTTGGGCATGTGGCCGTTGCTAGCAAACGGTTAAAAAAATATATATATATATTAAAACTTTTTTTCTTTTTTCTTTTTTTTA